GTTGATCTGCCTTTTGAGGTACTTATGAGTAGTGATAAGATACTGAGCGTACATCTTCTGAAGATCTTTCTGTTTAAAGCAAGAAACAGAAGTGAGCCTGCTGAAGCTTGGATTCAGAGTTGTCTCAATAAGGTACGGTAGAAGAATAAGATGCCCGTGCAATAGAAGAACCTTGTCTGGGGACACCAGAAGCTCTTTCCCCAATGCACTCTGATTACTGTGTAAGAGTAGGAAATGGTTCAAGCCTGCTTCCTCTGGCTTTCTTAGACACACCTCTGGGAAGCAGTCTTTGCATCCCCCCTGCAGGTGCCGGAGTTTGCCGCTTCTCTTTGCATCTTTTCTGGAATGTCTCCATCTTGCTTTGTTCCCTTGCAGGCTCCCTCCTGACTTTTCTGCAGGTGATGCTGCTCAGGGCGCATCCTGCACCTGATGGTTAACCTCAGTTGTCAACACGATGGGTTTATAAGTAGAAGATAGTTCTGCTCATATCTGTGAGGGATTATCTCGATTAGGTTACGTGAGATGGGAAGACCCACTTGAAGTGCAGCAGCAATATCAGGTTGGGGTCCCAGACTGAGTCAAAAAGGGAGCATGAGCTGAGCGCCAGCATTCATGTCTCTCCTCTTCTTGACTGTTGACACAGTGCCATTACCTCACTGCCCTGCCCCCATCCTTCCATGCCATGATAGACACGGCACTGGGAGCCCACATGATCCCTTCCTTCCTTACGTTGCCTTTGCCAGGTTTTTTTTTTTTTTTTTTTTTTTTTTTTTTTTTTTGTCTCAGCGATGTGACATATAGCCAGTCCAAAGAGCATTCCCTAGAGATAAAATGGCTGCTGTCGTGGGAAGACATTCGCAACCTTGGGACAGGTGAAGTTTCCAAAGCCTAAATCTACTGACAGAGGTAAAAAAAAAAAAAAAAAACAAAAACAAAAAAACAAAACCTTTCTCTAGGTTGATCACAATTGCCCGGCTAGATGTGTCTCTCTGCCGATGTCACATGGTATGGAAACCCTCTTCTCATGACTGAAGAAAAAAAAAAATCCTGAAGAAAACATCATTGGGAGAGGAGGGTGGAGGGGGAGGATGGGAGGAATGTCCCTGGCCAGGAGGCCGGAGGTGCCCCAGGAAGCTGTTTCCTCTGAATAGTTAAATGGCTGCCTCTCAACTTGCACAATGTCACATTGAATTTGAAACAGGGAACTTTTTATATTTTTCCCCTGATTGTGCTGGCACCTGGCAGATGCCTATTTACCACAGGCATCAATACACATAGTAATCAAAGGAAATCAGAGGCACAGATTAGCAACAGCTGCAAGTCATTAGTGACAGACACGGGAAAGCACAATTCTGCACCCAACTTTGAAATAACCAATATGAGTATTTCAGAGCACGAGGGTTACCGCAGGGCACCCGCTAACATGAGAGCAGCCAAACAATAGCTGGGCTTGTCTCTCCAGAGAGCCCTCTTCACACAGGCAGCCACACACACAGTTGTACACCAATCAATCACGACTATCGGTCCGCTGAATGTGAGCCCTCTGCACAGTACGTGTGCCATGCTGGCCTCCCAATCAAAGGTGGTCCGGACGGAGAAGGAACCCCCGGCTGGTGGCACGTTCCGCCATTCCCTAGTGCAATTTTGCTGCCATATGTTTGAGTATGTGGCTGATGCCTCAATTTTGCCACTGGCCTGGCTAGAAGGGGGCATCTAGAGGGGAAAAATAAAGTCATCACTCCTCACTGAATACCATTTTTTTTGTGTGTGCCACTGTTCCGTTTGAAAATCAGCTGCAATTGATGGCCGTTCTCTTGGTAGTTACATATTTTTCCTTGGCAGCACTAACCTTAGCCTACTCCAAAAAAATGCTGCTCAATTTTTAGCTTTTTCCTAATCAATTCATTCAGTGCCTGCCTTGGTGGAATTCAAGTTGGTCATTTAAAAATTTCTAGCTGTTGCCTGATATGTCCCAAAACAAATTTAGCCGGCATGGGTTGCTATTTTGGACCATCTTGGAAATGCAGATTTACTGTACAACTGGGTAATGGCTTAGAGATAAACAGAAGCAGTGAGCTGCTGTTGAGGCTGGTCCCTGACGGTCTGATAGCAGGACCAGGAGAAATTTAGCAGTATATATATACTGTGATCATTGGGCCATTGGACTATTGGCTATGGCTTAAATTGGCCCCTGTATTCCATGTGGTCTTCTCTCCCCTCGCTTGATTGGAAAGTTTAATTTTTTAAAAAGATATTTCTTCATTCTTCCTCCCCTTCTTCTTTAAAACTATTTTCCGAAGGTTTTTCTAAATATTCTCACTGTAACTAGCGGCTAGTTTCAAAGATTAAGATAATAAGTGGGGAAAATGAAATAGCATACAGAGCCGACCATTAAACCTCAGATCTTTAATAACAAGCGAAGAGCTCTATTCTTTGCACTCTTAAGAGCAAGCATCCTTCTAAGCATTCTGGTAGACATGGTTCAACCCTGTGTCTTACTCAGCCAATTTGCTTTCTAAAAAGAGATTGTTTTCCACTTACCAAAATACCAGGTGTAAGGAATGTTATGTTTTAGGATTATTTTATGGGGAATCAAAGGTCTACTATCCATGATTCCATCTGCTGAAAGTTAGCTCAGATTCGTTGAATGTCTGCTGTAGGGTGTGATGGACACGGCGACAAAATGGGTAAGTGACTTGGTCACAGTATGCTGGGCTGTCAGGGAGGCTGAGCAGAGTATACCCAAGGTGTCTTCATTGCCTGTGTCTTAATCCCTTCCTCTCCTTTTAATTTTCCTTCCTAGTCTAGTTTCTTTCTCCTCTATGACAAAATGAAAACATGTTTGCTACTCAGAATTAAATAAGATGCGTATTGGTAATATGTATTATTTGTGATAAAATTTCTATAAAAAAGCACTGTAACCCAGCAGAAGTTTTCCTCTTTCCCTGGCAACAGTCAGCTGCTTGGATGTGTTGTTCTTCTACACAGAGGGTCAAGGACTCAGGCTTTTTGCATCCTGTGGTCAGGCTTGAGAGTCATCTGCTTCCAGTCGGTGCAAAATTAAGGAGAGGGTGAGAAACCGTAGCCATTTCTCAAGCAACTGGGCTCAAAGTGGTAAACAGCATTTCTGCTCACACATTGTAGGTAAAGCTGCCTCAATGAACCCACCTACATGAAAGAGAGCTTTGGAAATTCTTATCTCTGGCTAGAATAGACACTTCAAGGTGCCAATCCTAGACCACAGAGGCCGGAAAACAGACTTGAGTCTAATAAGGATGTGTTGGGTACCCTGTTAATTTCAAGGAGAGACGATGGATAAATCTTCGTCAGGGGTGCTACTTGTCCTAGAGGTTCAATGTGATACCAAGTACCATGAGAGCAGATGTAGGACTCTTCTGGTCACGACTCAGAGGGGACACTGCTGAAGCGCCATGGTGAATGGCTTCCTTTAACAGAGAAGGGGGAAGAGGGTCAGACCTGAGAAATGTGTCCAGCAAAGATGTCCAGTGTGTTGAGAGGTGGCTGAGTGTTCCCATGTGTCAGGTTCCCAAAGATGTGAGGGCATCGAGGACCAGGTTACAGAAGGCCCTGTGGGCTGTGAGACCCAGGCTGGGATCATGAGAGTGCCATGGTCTTCCGCACATTAAATTCACCTTCTCCAATCAGATCCCTTTCTTGGATGCTTTATTACATATGTGGAAGGAAACCGGTTTGTGAAACTTGAGAAGCCATCGTGAGTTTTTAAGATGAAAAGCGTTTGTTTTCTGACAAGGCAGAGAAATCCCTAGCAACCATTGTTATTATGTAGGAGGGTAATCTTGTAAGAGACTAATGAACGTACATTTATTTATTTATTTATTTTTATCTGACTTCAAAGCTGACATTTCATCTGAGGTCTTAGGCTTCTTACTTTTCCATTAACACTTGTAATAATAAATGATGCCAGGCAGAGGGTCACGGAAGAGGGAGAGGGAGGCAGAGGTGTTCTGAGTTATCCAGGAGGGCTGACAGTGTGTCATTCACCACTGTGAAAAATATCTTACAAAAGCACTTAGGAAGGAAGGAGGAAAGGTTCATCTGGCCTCACAGTGTGAAGAGACACCTCTCTGTGGTCTTGCTAGTTTCTCAATGAGTATTTGCTTTCTTCTTTTCCTTAGATGATCTCAAACTGGCTGGTAAATATGTCTACCCTCTCTATGGCCATTTTTATATGAAAAGAGATTAGCATAACAGAGTAACTTTTATATCCTTTATTATTAACCTAAGAAATGCATAATGAACATCTTTTGAAAACAGAGACTCTGGGAGTAGAGATGATGGAGAGACAGAAATACGAGTCACCTGAGATTTCTCTCTGTACCTGACAGAGAAGGTTCCAGTGTATAATTGTCGTAGCTCTAACACTGCAGAGATGTGAAAAGTTCCAAGAGGAAGGCATAGACAGGAAGAAGAAGGAATTTAATGCTGGAGCACACAGGGAAGTCTTGATGGATTGGGTACCACAGGCATTAGATAAGACTTTTACAGGTGAAAAGAAATTGATCCAGAAAGAGGAGCTAGATTTGAGTGGGGCAGATAGCTCAATTGGTAAAGAATTTGCTGCTCTGGGGAGATGGAGACAAGAAAAATCCTAAGGCTTATTGGACAGCCAGTATAGAAGAATCAGAAATCTCCAGGTTTGGTGAGAGATCCTGCCTCAAAATGTAAGGTAGAGAGCAGTTGAAGATACTTAGTGTTGACCTCAGGCCTCCACATGTGTATATATGCACATATATTCACATGATCATATGTATACACATGTGTGTGTTTGTATGTGTGTGTGAGAGAGACAGACAGAGAGACAGACAGAGAGACAGAGATAGATAGACAGACAGACAGACAGACACACACACACAGAGAGAGAGAGAGAGAGAGAGAGAGAGAGAGAGAGAGAGAGAGAGAGAGNAGACAGACAGACAGACACACACACACAGAGAGAGAGAGAGAGAGAGAGAGAGAGAGAGAGAGAGAGAGAGAGAGAGTTAGACTTGATATAGTACAGGAGGGAATATTTGAGGATAGGTAGTCAGGACCATATCCCTACTAGGAGAGGAGAGTGGAGAGGGAACAGGTCTTTGGACTTAGGCTCATGAGACCAGGCTGTGCAGGGTGTTGAATACATGGTTAGGGAGGCTGCATCTAAGAAGGGAAGAGCCAACTACTAAGCTTTCCAGTAGAGAGAGGTAATACCTAGATTGATTGACAAGGATGCTGATGTGCAAAGAATTTCCCAGAAATCAGCCAAATGTGGTCAATTATAATATGAGGAATAAAAGGCTTAGAATACTAGCAAAGAGCGTGACTCCTGATATAAGGACAGCCGAGTGTGCACACACATAGGGCTCTTTGAAAAACATGATCTTCCTTGTCCCACAACCTAAAGCTTTGGCTTCTGTTTGTTTTTCCTCTGCAGGTGCAGGTCCTATAATTCTGAATACTTTGGTAGCCAGAGAAGGTCCCGTGGGTTAGGAGGCCTGTGAAATATAATACAAATGATGACTGTTGGAAAAAAAGCCTTTTGAGAAAAGGAAGAGGCAACATTTACTAGTGCTTGAAATGGGAGAGTGCTGTCCAATTGGCTTTTTTTTAACTGTAAAATATAGAATAGAAAATGCTTGAAGATTTCCTTTTTAGAACTTGGCAAAAATTACAGCAGATGAACATTAGGCAAAATGAAGGGGGGATTTTGCTCACACACGAAAGTTTATAAGAACTCTGGTTGAGTCTGGCTTCAGTATTTGCTGAAGTTTGTGGCTGTGTCAACAAAGATGGGTTAAAGTAAGCATATTTCAGATCCTAAACCGAGCGGCTTCACAGTCTGGAATAGAGAGTAGATTTAAAATGCTTTAAAATGGGTTTCCTTTTCTTCCCTCCAGCTGTGCCTGGCGCTAGGCGAAGATGAACCGGCATGTTCTTTGTTCAGAGTGACTTACCCACCCTGGGGTGTCGGACACATTAGAGTTTTGAATCTTGAGTCTTTTCAGTCAGTTGGCAGTGGGCTAGAAAGAAATGCATTGGGAGCAGCCAAGCTACCGTTTGACATGGTACTTCAATACCTGAAATATTTTAGCCCAGTTCTCCAGACGACGATGGCTGATCTCACTGGGTAAAGCAGAGCAATGACTGCGAGGCCTTCACTGGCATCAGCCTCTGGATCTTTTGGCTCGTCTGGCTGACCAACAGATCACAGTTAGCGTGGGGCAAGGCATTAGCATCCTAGTGAATCTCTTGGTTTTATTCCGAACCTTCTTGAGTGCACTCACCACTCTGACTTGGTCTGGTGGTGATGGATTTGATAAGTCTTCTCAGCACCCAGATCCCAGAGACCTTTCGGGAACAGTGGCCCCTCGTTATGCACCTGTTTTCTCCCTGAAGCAAATTTTAATTTCTCAAGTCTGGACAGGAATTTCCACCTTCCCCTTTTATAAAATGCTTTCCACTTATTGTGCTTAACCATTTATCATAATCTTTCAGGAACATAAGTATCAAACTACTGTCTTGTTTGTTTTCTTTTTAATATTGTGAATTAAACTTGAGAAATTTTTTTAAAAAAAGATTTAATCTTTCAGTTCATTTTTTTGTCCTGTATAGGGTTTATATTTTGAAGGTAAAGCTTTAAAAAAGTTTTCATATTGGGAAAACTTACCAATATTAACACAAAGAGATAACTTGGCAGAGAGAATTATCAGAAGATGGCAGAGTAGAGAGCACTGGTCATCCGTCTTTCTACCCAAGCTGCAGAGATTCTGTTCTGGCAGAATTTTTCTGATGTAACCGTTTTTTTTTTTTTTTTTTTTTTTTGTCGAGACAGGGTTTCTCTGTAGCTTTGGTGCCTGTCCCGGAACTAGCTCTTGTAGACCAGGCTGGCCTCGAACTCCCAGAGATCTGTCTGCCTCTGCCTCCCGAGTACTGGGATTAAAGGCGTGCGCCACCACCGCCAGGCTGATGTAACTGTTTTTGAGCGCTAATGTCTACCCAAGGCTTGCAGCATCAAGTGAAAGGCTTATAAGGTAAATTGTGGTTAATTCTGTTCAGTTTCAGCTCTTGGCACAGTGACCTTCTAATAGGCAGTTGTGTATTGTTCCTGGGACAGCTCAAAGAATCACGGTGGGAATCATGGTGGGAATTGTAGGAGTCATGGTGGGAATCAGTGTGTCTACCCACATTGTTGCAGGTCTCTAACCGCTCACTGAAATGACTTGCAGGGGATTTTAAGGAGCACAATCACCTTTCCACTCTCACTTTAAAAGCTACATGTGTAGAAGAAATTATAAAATTACACACTTACCCCACATTCCTGGGAAAGAATGAGGGATCCGAAAAGGCCCGAGAAGACCTTAGGTTTTCACTTCAGTTGGTCTTCAACGCAGAGAGAGTCTAGAACAATTAAAAATAAAAACAAAACAACAATGATACTGTGTGGGAGAAGAAGAACCCGCTTTTCAAGGTGCCATACTATTTAATTCAAATATAGAAAAGTATGGACTGTGAAACAAGTGAAAACCTTCCAAAGACAAAGTACAGAAACAAGCCCAGAGCCCAGAGAACACCAAGACCCGAGGGCAGAGCTACTAGGTACGGACTTTAAAGTCACTATCTTAAAGATGGTCAAAGAGCTGAAAGAAAACAGAAAATAGAGAAAATAATGACTGAAGAGAATAGGTACTGATAAAGATATATGAGACATAAAATAAGACAATGAAAAGCCAGCCTACAGTTCACAACTCTAGAGAACCTAGACAACAACGAGGACCTTAAGAGAGACATACATGTATTTACATAGGAAGGAGAAAAAGACAAGAATTGATCCATGTATGTCTCTCTTAGGGTCCTCATTGTTGCAAAAAGAGACTCCTGATGAACAGTTGCAGAAAGAAACAGGTCATATGGGATGACAAGGACATATTGACGACAATATCAATGGGACCTGCTGAGGATGGCTGAAGAAAGAAAAATATCCCTTTCCACACCGGGGCATGAGCTCACTGGGACAAGAAGAATGGATGTATTGATACAAACTGATAGAAGTGGAATTGGTGCTAAGTGTGTTTTGTTCTGCCCTGTGACCACACATCTTTCTTTCTGGCACAAATGTCTTAAGTATACAGTGCCAGGTGGTAGTGAAATGCCACTAGGGACTCAACGTTTGACACCACTCAAAACTTTCAGATTTGTGACACTGGTCATCATTGGGTTAGACTCTATAATAGCCTACCAAGTGTCTGTCTGGGAGACATTTACTTGGGATTCTGCTTGTGAAATTAGGTGGGGTGGAGCCTGTGTTTCTGATTCCTCTGGAAGGCTGGGAGAGGACTGGATCACTTGTTCCCAATTGGTCATTTCTCTCTGTGGATGGGAGAATCAGTGCTAATTGATACTTTTTATATTTAATTACACCCAATTTCTTCTGTCTGGCTGCCCTGAAACCAAGAAGAGGAAAACAGTATTTGACATGCAAATCTTCTAACATAAATATTTCTTAACCTCATCAGCTTCAGGATTGGTCCAAATATAGACTCTTCGGGACGCAAACTGAGGAAATAGTTTCTTATCTGTGTGTTACCCTGTGTCTTGAGACCCACTTTCTGGAAGCTAGCTCTGCAGTCGAGTAATGGGACTCCGATCCTTTGCTACGTCTCCAGCACCCTGATCTCCTTTTTCCTTACTGATATAATTATTTCCCAAGTAGCTTGATGAAACAGCTTCCACAACCTTTGGTCTAACTCTCTCTGAAGAGCTGGGTCATAGAATTCTTCCTGATGGCTTTAAGGATGTTCTTCAACACAGCTCAACACAACGCTATCCTCCACATTTCCTGGATGGTGTTCCTTGGCTGGTCCCAACTTACTACTGCTCTTGGTACCCTGCCCTCCCTTGGTACCAGTAAAAGTGTTTTACTGTTGGCTTCCTAACATGTGTGTGCCTGCCTGTCTGCCTGTCTGAGAAGCAGGTTCTACCTCTCCGACTGTGATGTGTCTTCCCTGGCCTCTGGGAATCTTTTCCTTCCTTTAACAGCCTATGGGTGATTACCAAGTGCACTGAAGGGCTCTAGAGACCACCTAACCAATGGAATGGAATAGAAAGGGAGCCTGGGGAAGGGGAAATTAAGAATTCTATGAAGAACTTGATTTCTTTCAGGTATGAAAAGTTTCACATGTTTATCTTTATCAGCTCGCCTTTCTTATTTCTAAAATAGGAACAATTAAATTAGTCTGTATTTTATTACCTGTTTTTTTTATTGGGATTAAGATGATCAGATGTATGCAAAATCTTCATCTGTGAAGTCTTCTATGGGGTTTAATGTGCGGCATCTGTGGTTCAGAGATGTCTGTTATTCAACTGACCCACTGTTTACTGTAGCCCATGTCTGTGTCCAAACCACACTGTTCACTTCGCCAGCTGGGGCATATATATATAATGACTTACGTTTATATTTTATAATTTGTAATTTATAGATGTAAACGTTATTTTTCTAATTTGTGACTTGCCTGCTACCTTCCCACCCCCATGCCTGCCATTATTAGCGAGAAGTCCGACGGACACATCACAAAGATACTGCACATCTATGTGCATTACAGCGTTGGTCACTGGAGCTACAACATGGCATCAGCCTATGTCTCTATCAGCAGAGGAATGGATAGAGAAAATGTGGTCTATACAACAGTGCTATTAAAATCCCGTGAGCCTAGGCACACATATCTATTAGTGTCTGGTCCCAACTCTAGGAGCAAGCCTGAACCATTTTTAACCCTTAAGTTTCCTCCTCAAATAACCTTAAAAGGTATTGGGGAGTTTTACTTTTTGGTTTTTTGAAACAGGGTTTCTTTGTGTTGCCTTCGCTATCCTGGAACTCACTTTGTAGACCTGGCTGGTCTTGAACTCAAGAGATCCACCTGCCTCTGCCTCCTTAGATTAAAGGTGTGTGCTACCACCGCCTGGGAGAATTTTTCTAACTTTATGAAGTTGTACACGAAGAATTCTAATATGTGTAAACATGATTCCTGATTACTGAATGCTACATATGTGCCTGGGAGCTTCACACATGCTGTCATGGATTCTCCTGGCCGCCGCCTTCCTGGGTCTCCCCGCTGATCCTTACTTGGCAGTTGTGGGAGCCGAGACTGAGAGCTGACTTGGTCTCTGAGGCATCAGTCGGGATGAGGCAGAACCCAAATTGACCTCACAGGTTACTCTTGTTCTTGTTTATTACATTGCCTTTTCAACATCCTCTGAGAACCAGAAACTCCAGCATGGAAATCCGGCCTCTTCCCTTATTTTGAAGCACGTCCCAGGTGGCCGCTCTCTGCGCAGAAGATGAAGGATAGGCATTAGGGAGAAGCCTTTTGCTGGTGTGGAAAGAAAGTGCTTATCTCTGGGAAAAGCAGAGGAGGGACTCTGGAAGGAGATAGCGCCCTGCAAGAAAAACATCTTTTTAGAAGCCTCCGAGTCATAAATAGGCAAGGCCCTCTGCCAGTTTATAACTGTCTTTTAAGTTCAGACCCTTGGTCAGTTTTGACCACCGTGGCTCTGGGGGACGTCCATCAGCCTACTTCTGCTATCTTCTGCTCCCACCTCCAGAAGGCAAACCACAGGAAATCCATCTTTCCTTTAGGGTCTGAAGTCAAGTCCAAATATAACAAGACCGCAATAACTGCCCCCACCCTCCAGAGTTGAAGCCCAGTTCCCTCTGCCCAGATGGCTGCCACTGAAAAGCAGTGTTCACCCACAGCGTCCTCCTTTTGTTGGCTGCCCTCTGATTGCCGCTAATGACTCCCAGCTGTACAGCCTCCAAAGACTCGGCAAGACGAATCTTTAAAAAATAATTTAATAACTAGACTCCTCCAGGGGTGGATGGGGTTGATGCCAATCTGGATGGAAAGCTGCCTTATCCCATCTAGCCGGATGATAGTCCATGAGAAGGGAGGAGAGTCGCTAGGGGCAGATGAAGTCCTTCTGATGTTTGCTCTGAGAATCCGATGTATTCTCTATTCTAACTTCAGTAGATAACATTATTCTATAAATATAAAATAGAAGGTTACATCTGGGTAATATAAACTTACTTCCTATGGAGAAATTGAAGTGACACCTTTTAGAGTGATGGCATTCTTCAAATAAGATATATCCTAGGTTCAGTATCTTTGGGTGATTTATAATACCAAAAAAAAAAAAAAAAAAGAAAAAAGAAAAAAGAAAGAAAGGTGTTCATTGAACTGTGAGATGTGGCTGCCTGGGATTTCCCATTTGTCTCTGAAATGCCAGGTTCTCTGAGAGGTTGGCTTCAAACACTGTGACCACAGAACACGTACTGAAGACTCAAAGCACTCCACAGACATTCTCCATCAGGAATAGATGTGTGGGTTATTAGAGATTTTTGCCTTCTAGGCTCTTCCTTCTCATCTCTCCCTCTTCCCTGTCTCTCCCTCCTTCCTCTTCAAGACTAGTCTACAAGTGCCAGATGAGAAGGGAAAAGAGTGAGTTGCTTTTATCAACTTCAGGTTAGATCATTGCAGTGTGTGTAGGTTCTGGAATTCAGAGGACTGCCCTGAATCTTGGTCCTCAGGAACTGTCGACCTTGTGTTTTGAAACAGGGTTTCTCCCTGGCACCTGATGCTCGCCAATTTGGCCAGACTGTTTTGGCCAGTGAGCCCACGGAATCCTCCTGTTTCTGCCTCTCTGGACTGAGATTATAGGCACAGACACCACAAAAAGATTTTTTTACCTGGGTGCTGGGGTTTGAACTTGGGTCCT